AACTGGTGCCAACTGCAAACAGAATGAGTACAAACAGGAACAGCCCGAATTTTTACATTCTCACTTCTGGAACTCCAATTTTAATTCCTAAACACTTTTTTTGTTACATCTGCTGGAAAATATTTGGGAGGCACACCAAGGAAAAAGGTTATATTTGATGGGGGTTCATTGTAGGGTCTTAGGGCTCAGCCAAATTTTGTGAAAAAAAATTCCAAGCCCCACTTGGCTTCAGAGGAGGTCTGGGTCTTCTCAAAGGGTCAGAAAAACCTCATTCTAAACTCTGCCCACAGAGACCTATTTGACGTTCTCTCCATCTTTCTGTTTTGTTCCTTAAACGAGCACTGGAATCAGTGAAGATGTTTAGGATTTGGGGGAGAGGGCCGGCCTTGTCCCTGCCGGAGTCAACATCCATGCAGGCCACCTTGGCCAGCGCCTCCTCCTGCAGCAGAGGCCTTCAAGGACTGAGGATGGTGGATGGCGCAGTTGCAGGGGATGCCTGGCTGGGCTGTTAATGGCCCCAGGTCTCCTTTCCTCCCAGGTCAACCAGGGAGGTCCCGGTCTCCCGAAAGCATGGCCCAGAGGAGGCAGGAGATAAGGATTTGAGGTGGAGGTAAGTGAGGCTTGAAAAGTGGGCTGGGCTGTGTGTATGTGTGCACGGGTGTGTGTGTGTGCGTGCAAATGTATGCGTGTGTGGTGAATACTTGCTGTAGAGCAGGTGGAGAGCAGCAGAGACAAAGGCCCTTGAAGGCCCAGCCTCCCCACCTGTGCTCAATGGGCCTGATCCAGAGCCACCTGCAAGGGCCCTCAGGAAGGCCACTCCACCAGCAGGTCGGAACCTGCATTTTAACGAGATCCACAGGGATCCTATGCACATAAAAGTTGAAGGGGGCAGGCCCAGGCCTAGGTAATCAGCCCAGCCCAGGTGGGCTCCTGGTGGGATGTGATCCCTCTCCTTGAAGCTCTCAGCCCAGCCCCCAGCTCCACTGCCTTTCCTCTAGAATTACTCTGGAGTTTAATTGACAAGGGCTAACATGGAGACACGTCCTGAACACCAAAACAAGTCTGTCACCAGTAGCCCATAGGTCTATGGAACCACTTCTAAATCAGCTCCCCGTGTGACACAGAGAAGTGGCCAGGGCCTGATGTTTCAGCTGTGTTCCAGTAAGTCTACAGCACTCCTGTCCTTAATAAAATTTGCTGCTTGCCTTTTTGGCAGGAATAACTGAAATTTCCCCCAAGAATAACACGCAAATGGGTGAAATGGCTCCCAGGGCCACAAATGCAGAAGCATCTAATTTAAGCATCCCTCAAAAAAGACTTTATCCTCACTCACATTGGCATGTTATTATTGCTACTAAAATTGTCATTTTTTTATTTTTACTTCTTTAATTATCTTAATTGCCTGCTATGAGAGTCCCACACACCAGAAATGTGCTAAAAGACAACAGTGGTGGACAGGACGTCAAGTGTATACCAGATATATGTGTCAGACTCTAGGCCTGAATGGGCTGAGGTCTGGCTTCCTGTACAGAACTCTGCAGATGGGAGCAGGTCAGGGGCTGCTCAGCCAACCACAGGGTCACCCACAACCCACAGATAGGAGCCGTCCGTGCCTAAGCCCGGCCTTCCCAGCAGCAGTCTGCATGCAGGCTGTAGGCGCATGCAGAAAGAGGTCTGTGTGTCAAATGCTGCTTCTCCTCTTCATCCAGAAGAGAGATGGAGGCTCTTGCTCTCCCCTGTGTGATGGGCCACCCTGGAAACTCAGCAACTGTGGTCGCTATGGATATTTCTCCTCTTCCTTTCTCACCTCCAAGAAGAGCCCATTCCATCCATCCACTGATTCCCATAAGAAAAATAACATTCATTTGCTTTTCAGAACACAAAGCCCTCGTTAGTTTGGGTGGTGACTTCTCTGATCTTTTGAGGATGGCAACCAAGTGAATATTTGTACAAGTTATTTTGCCAGAGTTTTCTTACCATGAGGGCTAATAACCTTATTACACATTTCACTATAAATTAATACAAGAGAATGTAATAACGAAACAATAATGACATGAAAACGTTATAACTATACTGCAGGAAAATGAAGCCTGAAGGTACAATTCTACCACTGTTTTAAAAATTCTGCTTTTGGCTTTTGGTGCCCAGGATGGAACCCAGGCTCAGCCTTGCTTGGGGTGCCTTCACCACTGAGCTGCACCCCATCTCAGTCAGGTCACAACCATACACTTGTTTTCATTTCTCATTATTTTGTTTTGCATCCCTTCTTTTCCTTGGACCTTGCACAGGAGCAGTGGATTGTGTACAGGTCATTGTTTATTAAACTGCTGCCCCCACCACTCTGCCCCCAGTGCTTTGCTTTGGCAGAAGAGATTGCAACACAGGGGACCTCTGCTTGTCCTATGCTTCGAATGTCTTTTTATGAGGCCTTCTTAGCTCACTACTCCTCAGTAGCCCTTCCCAGAGCCAGGGTCTTGACCCCGGAAGAATTGCCTGCAAAAAGCAGCATTAATGTCTGAATGTGTGCTCAGTGCTGAGCAGATGCATTCTGATGGCCTGAGTTGTTAAAATACATTTTTAGAAACAACCCACCCACAGGAAGTGAGGTGTTGGTTATAACCTCTGACACTCCACACACCCCATCTTCACTGGGACTGGGGATTTGCCCAGAGAATCCCAACTGGGAATGAAGGGATGTGCATGCATCTGGTATCTATCACTAAAAAGCTTGTTCAAAAGTGAAACGTTTGCTTTCACAAGACATCCGGTGACATTTCCATCTCTCTGGTCTTACTCTCACCTACAGAATCAAAGGGAAAGGCCCTTGACAAGTTGAAGCCTTGAGTAAGGCCGTTCGTGGATGTTTACTCTCTGAAGGACTTCACCAGTTGGAGTATTGATCAGTGGAATCGGCCTTTTATTATTTTCCCTTTGGTATTTGATGGGCTGTGCCTTAAGGGAGTAGGTTCTATTTATGATGTTCCCTCCAGCTAGTTTCATTGATGAAGAGGGTTCTGTGGAGGTGTTTTGCTAAGGGGCATAGGATACCAGCTATCTTCCAAGAAGCAGCAGAGGTGGCCTGGATTTGAGCCCAAGTCATAAACCTCTTTTGCTGTCACGGTGACATGCAGAGTAAAAACAAACTCTGCAACCCCGAGCACAGTCGCTGGTTGTAAGGTGACTTCAATACAGAGACCGAGCAGGGCTGGAGGGAAAGGAAGGGAAGGCGAGGACCCAGACAAAGGAGAGCTTCGCAGGTCTCAGCCCTACGAGGTAGAAAGGGGGACTCAGGGAAACATCTGTTCGCAGCCCAGCTCCTGCAAACTTTTTCCTGGAGAGAAGCTCCCGGAGCAATTTGCAGCATTCCAGCCCAAGTTTCTGCGCCAGAGCTCTGAATAACCCTTCAGAAATCCAAGCTCGGAGGACCCGGCTGTGCAGGCGGAGGTGGCGCCCTGAAGCCCAGCACGGGGAAAGGTCAGCGAACCCCAGGCGCTGGACGTCCCCGCGTCCCTCGCAGCCGGCCCACCTGCCTCCCCTCGGGGACCGCGGCTCTGAGGCCATGTGGAGCCGGCCCTGCTGGAGCCTCCAGCTTCGCGCGGGGGAAGGAGGCCTATTTGGGCTAGCGCAGAATTTCAAGGAGCTCCAGGCCTGCACTCTGGGGAGGTTTTTGTTGGGGGGGGGGCGGTCCCGGCGGATCCGGAGAGACCTGGAGAAGTTGCTCAGGTGCCAGAGATGCAGGTTTGAGAGCGTGGGGCTATGGCCCCAGTCGAGTCCGCGGGCTACGCGATCGACAGGGGGCGCGTTGTCACCGTGGAACCGGTGCCCAGAGCGCCCGGACGTCCTGGTCTGGCCAATGAGGTCCGCTCTCTGGAAGGGTCAGGACCTCGTTTTCCAGGGCCTGGGGCTTGTTTTGCTTTGGGAATAATTTCTAGGACTAAAATTCCAACCAGGAGCAGCACCAGAAAGGGGTATGGGGGGCTTAGAACTCCCAAAACCCTCACTTACAGCACACACAGAGGAGGACCTGGCCAAAATACTCTAGGGAGAGTTTAATTCCAAAGACACTGGAACGCTGCCCATTTGTCCTGGTTTCGTGATTGGCCTTTTCGTGCCTGGTGTGAGGTTGAGGGTACATTGCGCTTGGGGAAGTGTGTGTGTGCCGTACGTTGCTGTGTCCCTGCCCTGGCCTGTGCAGAAAGCTTTGAAAAGCAGTTCCTGCTTGTGCTCCCTACACACTCCCCTTTCCCGCGTCCTGGGTGGGGCTCTGGCGTCGTTTCCATCAATCCCCTGGGGGCCCTGCTGGAAGACTCTGGGATCTGGTCCCCAGGGTCCCCTGAAACACCTCCACCTTCACCACATCCCCTTACACAGCATGGGGTGGGCTGCTTCAGCTGGATGCAGGGTTGACTTGGGGCTTGCCCTGGTACTCACTCCCTATAAATGGTCTAAACCATGTACGTTTTGGTGGCAAAAGTTGCCTTCAGAGACCGCATCTGAAATCCAAACGCATGCAGCCGGGAGAGACCAGGTCTGGGGATGAGGCGCCTGGCATCTGCTGCATCCGCCTGCCCCACTTCCAGCCTGCCCCTCAGCAGGCATCTGTTTTCCCTCTCGGCTCTGCCTGTTCTCTGCTGTCTTTTGCTTCTCTCACTCCGATTGGGTCAGGTGGGGTAGGTCCACTGCTTCTTGTTTTGTCCCCATCTCTGATTGAGGTGCAGGGGGCTGGGTCCCACACCTGGGCCAGGTGTTCTGAACCAAGGAGGCAAGCGCTTCCCTCTTTAAGCACCTGTAAACGTTCCCCGCTCCCAACCCTGGGCTTGCTGAGGTCTTGATGGCTAACCCAGGACAAGTGACATTGGTTGAAGTTTCTGATTTTTATGAAAAAGCCCCTCTGGCCGGCAGAGAGGACAGGGGCCCTCCTGAGGCCACCCACACGCCCTGCATTGATCCCTTTTCTCTCTCCCTTACTGCTCCACCCCACCTGTCCTGTTTGTTTTAGTTACGAAATGCTGTGGGCACCTTGGTCGGGACTGGGAAAGTAACCTTGACTGTCAGAGACAAATCGCAGCCTCCTCGCCGTCCGCCACAGCGAGCCGCCTGACTGCCGGTGGCAGGAGGTAATCCGGAGGCAGCGGACAGCGAGACGGCCAGGTCATGCACACGGTCGCGGGCCTCTCGGCGACCTAACTGTCACCGGGCAGGGCCTCCTGGGAGCCGTGGCGGGCGAGCTCAAGGTGTGTACACAGTTTTTCTAAATACGACAACGCCTTGCAAATTGGCTGTCACCTGCTTGTTGTCTGACAGAGAATGTGCGCCGGGAGCGAAGAACCCGGGATAAATAAATCCGGTTTAACCGCGGCTCCGTGGGGGCACCGGGGCCGGACGCGCCCTTGGACGCGCGCGCACCGGGCAGCTCTCGGAGACCTGGGGCAGAGGGGGACACTAACCCGAGCCGATAGGGTGCCCCTTCCCGGTGACTCAGAGCGTAGTAGGCGCCCAGGGAACCCCTCAGAAAAAGGGCTCCGCCGAGCGCCCCCTGCGCGCGCCTCCCTGTGCTCCCTGTGCTGGCCGGGGTGTGGGGCGCGGGGCCTGGGGTGCGGGGGCACCGAGGGGCAGGTGCGGGGCGCCGGCTCGGGCTGCGTCTCACCTAGGTGTGAGCTGATTATTCAAATAGGCTGCCCGGGTCTGGGGATTGGAGGCCCGCGCCGCGGGCCGCGCTATATCACCAGCCGTTCACGTCACTGCGGCACTTGTGCGCCTCGCGCTCCACACCTCCTCCCCCTCCTCCTGCGCTCCCCCCGCCCGCCCCCGCGCCGCCAGCTTCCCGCCGCCGCGGGGCAGTCGCCACTGCCTGCCTCAGCCTCCTCTCGGCAGCCCAGAGCCGGAGCGGCGCTGCGCGGGCGCCCAGAGAGTGGGGCCCGGCGGCGCGGCCTTCGGAGCTCCTCAGCCCCCCGCCTCCGCGCCCACCACGGCGCCCTCGGCCACCGCCCGGGCCAGCCGGGATTGAGCGGCGCGACGCGGCAAGAGTGCGGGCGCGGGGAGGAGGGACCGGGCCGCTGGCGGCTTTTTTTTTTTTTAAGAGGGTGGGGGTGGGGGCGGATTGTCGGTCGTTTGTTGTGGCTGTTAAATTTTAAACTGCCATGCACTCGGCCTCCAGTATGCTGGGAGCCGTGAAGATGGAAGGACACGAGCCGTCCGACTGGAGCAGCTACTATGCCGAGCCCGAGGTGAGCGCGCGGGAGCGGGGTGCAGCGGGCTGTGGGACCCGGGATCGCGGCCCAGCGCGCACCGCCCCCCACCCGGCCTGCTCGGGCAACCGCTTTTTCCGCCCTCCTTCGACTCAAATGGGTCTCTTTTTTATACGACACACTGTTAGCCTTGAGATAATATTAACTTTGTGATCAAATATTGACTTGCGGCGCCTCCAAATCCTCTCCGTGGCCGCGCCACGCACTATCCTAACAGAGTTATGTTTGGCGGCGCGCGGCTGGGGAGGGGTGGGAGGTCGGCCGGAGAGGGTGGGGGGCGGAAGGAGAGGTGGGCCGGAGTCGGGCCGCGGTGGAGGCAGAGTCACAGATTCGCCACAAAGAGAAAGAAAGTTGGCGGCTGCGAAGCCCCGCCGCCAGGGTTCCGTCCCCAGCGCTCGGAGCTTCCCGTGTCCCCCACTCGCGCAGCCTCTGCACTCCAGCTCACCCGGGACAGGGAGGGGATCCCGGGAGGAACGCGGGCAAAGGGGCCCCTAGGACAGTCTCCACTTGTGCCACCCCAGGCGGTGTCCCAGTGGTTCCTTTCTGGAACTAGAGGTGGCCATGTCCAGGGACTCCCGGGCTGCTGCGCCCGCTCAGCAAGCGGGTGGGAGAGTTAGGGGCGAGCCTGGAGACGGAAGCCGCGCTCGGGCGCTCCTGGAGGCCGCTCTCCCAAGATCTTCTAGGCGCGGAAGCGCTGGGTGTGGGCCATACGCCCGGCCTGGCCCGAGCTATGGTCACCTCCCCAGGGGCACGCGCGGCTTGCTTCGGAGAAACGCGCTTGGAGTCGGGGCCCAGGGAAAGCATGCGCTCCTCGCCATAGGCCGCCCCAGAGGCGGGGGCCAGGACTGGATGGGTGGCGGGTTGTGGGCACCCCGGAGCCGCGACGCTAACGCTGTCCCCCTTCCCGGCTCTGTCCGCAGGGCTACTCCTCCGTGAGCAACATGAACGCCGGCCTGGGAATGAATGGAATGAACACGTACATGAGCATGTCGGCGGCCGCCATGGGCAGCGGCTCGGGCAACATGGGCGCGGGCTCCATGAACATGTCCTCGTACGTGGGCGCGGGCATGAGCCCGTCCCTGGCTGGCATGTCCCCGGGCGCCGGCCCCATGGCAGGCATGGGCGGCACGGCTGGCGCTGCGGGTGTGGCGGGCATGGGGCCGCACCTGAGCCCCAGCCTGAGTCCACTTGGGGGACAGGCGGCAGGGGCCATGGGCGGCCTGGCGCCCTACGCCAACATGAACTCCATGAGCCCCATGTACGGGCAGGCGGGGCTGAGCCGCGCGCGCGACCCCAAGACTTACCGGCGCAGCTACACTCATGCCAAGCCGCCCTACTCTTATATCTCGCTCATTACCATGGCCATCCAGCAGAGCCCCAACAAGATGCTGACGCTGAGCGAGATCTACCAGTGGATCATGGACCTCTTCCCCTTCTACCGGCAGAACCAACAGCGCTGGCAGAACTCCATCCGCCACTCGCTGTCCTTCAACGACTGCTTCCTCAAGGTGCCGCGCTCGCCTGACAAGCCTGGCAAGGGCTCCTTCTGGACCCTGCACCCCGACTCGGGCAACATGTTCGAGAATGGCTGCTACCTGCGGCGCCAGAAACGCTTCAAGTGCGAGAAGCAGCTGGCGCTGAAAGAGGCGGCGGGCGGAGGCAAGAAAGGCGCGGCGGGGAGCTCTGCCACTCAGGCTCCGCTTGGGGAGCCCTCTGGGCCAGCCCCCGAGACGCCGGCGGGCACCGAGTCACCGCACTCAAGCGCGTCTCCCTGCCAGGAGCACAAGCGAGGGCCCCTCGGGGAGCTGAAGGTGCCCCCCACCGCAGGGCTGAGCCCCCCGGAGCCCGCGCCCTCCCCGGGGCAGCAGCCCTCCGCCGCTGCGCACCTGCTGGGCCCGGCGCACCACCCCGGCCTGCCGCCCGAGGCGCACCTGAAACCGGAGCACCACTACGCCTTCAACCACCCCTTCTCCATCAACAACCTCATGTCCTCGGAGCAGCAGCACCACCACAGCCACCATCACCACCAGCCGCACAAAATGGACCTCAAGGCCTACGAACAGGTGATGCACTACCCTGGCTACGGGTCCCCCATGCCAGGCAGCTTGGCCATGGGCCCAGTCACGAACAAAGCGGGCCTGGACGCCTCGCCCCTGGCAGCAGACACTTCCTACTACCAGGGGGTGTACTCGCGGCCCATTATGAACTCCTCTTAAGAGGACACCTGCAGGACTGGCTAGCTCCAGCAGCCAGGGCAAAGGACAAGAGACAAAGGAAGCTGGTAGAGGCTCCAGGGAGGGAGTTTCCAAGAGGTGCAAGGGAGGAGAGACCCAGGACACCTGTGCCCCAGACAGCAGTCTCCTGGCTCACATTCTCCTGCGCTCCAGACAGATGGGCCACACTGATGCCTGTCATTCTGTATAAGCAGGGAGAGGGGGAAATAGGAAGTATGAAAAAAGAGGAAAAGAAAAAAAAAAGCCTTCGGTTTCCACTACTCTGTAGACTCCTGCTTCTTTAAGGACCTGCAGATCCTGATTTTTTTGTTGTTGTTCTCCTCCATTGCTGTTGTTGCGGCTAAGTTTTACTTAAAAAACAAACAAACAAACTTTTGTGAGTGACTCCGTGTAAAACCATGTAGTTTTAACAGAAAACCAGAGGGTTGTACTGTTGTTTAAAAAGACAGAAAAAAAGTGATGTAAAGGTCTGATGTAAATGACCAAGAAAAAGAAAAAAAAAGCATTCCCATTCTCGATATGGTAAAATCCAGGTCTCGGGTCTGATTAATTTATGGTTTCTGCGTGCTTTATTTATGGCTTATAAATGTATATTCTGGCAACAAGGGCCAGAGTTCCACAAAACTATATTAAAGTGATATTGCTGGTTTTATCCCCTGAATCTTTTCTTCAAGGTTTTCTTTCTTTCTCCTCTTTCTTCTTTTTTTAAAATCTGACTTTAAAAATAAACAGATTTAAAACGCTTCCAAGGAGGAGGGAGGTAGATTATGGCTGTTTGCAGGGTTTTGTTTTGTTTGGTTTGGTTTCGTTTCGTTTGGTTTGGTTAGGGGGAGCAAGATGTTTTTTCCTAACATTTCATTAAAATGTCAAAGTTAAGCAAGTTTTTACAGTAAGTATACAGCAACCCACTGTGAAGGTTCAAGTTAACATTTCTCATTTTGGTCATCCTTGCCACACCTCCATCCTTCAACCTGCCCGGTTTCTTTAAGCACATTTCTGGGTGAAGGGAAGTGGTGCCAGCCCACTCTCCCTCAGTCCCCCAGCAAGTCCAGCCTCAATAAGCACTCAGCCTTGTTTATGCTCATCCTTTAAATCTGAAGTCTAACTTTATGTTTTGGTTTTGTTTTGTTTTTGGTACTGGGGATCAAACTTGGGTCCTTGTGCTTGCAGGGCAGGCGACAGAACCACTGAGCTAAATCCCCCGACATGAACTCTAACTTTACACACTGTGAAACACACAGTCCCCTGTGGACCATTCCAGCAGGTTTATTTTTAAAGCTGGGAGAAAACCAGCCTCCTCTTATCTCGACAGTCTGCCTGGGCAGTAGAAAGTGCCCCCATGGCCTGGATGTTGCTTAGGCCCAGGACTGGCTTGTCTTGGGGAAGCAGAGATTTTACCTGTGCTTGCTGTGTTACTATCTAGGCCTCTACTGGAGCCACTGAGCCTAGACTGAATTTGCAGATTCCTAGTGCAGCTCTGTCTTTGCACCCTGCCCTGGTCCCTGTAGCTTTCCTATGGAATCCAGACCAGGCCAGATGCTCCAGGCTGTGCCCACACCACCAGCCTCTCCCTGCTCCCGAACAAAGGTGTCCTGTGCCCCGTGCACACCTGGCTAGTTCCGGGAGTGGAGTGACATTTCATATTTCCTTTTTAAATGTAAAGTGTATGTGGAACTAGAGCAGAGGTAAGGGTACCTGGTACCTGGTGCTGCTTGTCAAGTGATCCTGGCAAGTGAGGGATCCCAGTGTCTCAAGATTTGTGCCCCTCCCTCACAGCAAGTCCTGAGCCCCTCCCCCCCAAAAGTGTCCTGAAGGCCCAGGAGTCCAGATTGACAATATGGAATAGCAGCCCAATGTACAAGTGGGGATTTTGTGAGACTTCAAGGAAACTCCAAAAGTATGAAGACCCAGAACGCATTCTTCCAGACTGAGTTACCTCTCCCCACAGATGGCCTAACTGCAATGGAAACCCAGGCTCAGGGTGCAGAGGGGAGCCCAGCATGGGCTTCGCCCCAACATTTGAAGGCTTGCAAGCTACTCTTTAGGGATTAAGCCTCTGGTCTGTGCTGAATAAAAACACACCAGGGCTTCAGAACCTCAGATTTGGTGCCTCCCTTTCCTAAGCCCAGGCTCCAGTTTCGGAAGCTAGAAATTAGAAATTGGGGCTTCCCAATTACAGAAACCCGGGATGTCCCTGCTGGGCTTCCGCCTTGGACACCACCAGACCAAGCGCCCTCTGCCACCTTCTGGTGGCCTCTTCGCCCTTCCCACTCCCAGGCCTTCCCACGCGCTTGGAGGGGGGGTTGCTCCTCCACCCCCGTCCTCAAATCCCTTTTTTAACACACCACATTGTCCCAAAGAACACAAGAAGAGAAATGGGGGGGGGGCTCCTGAGGCCAGCAATCAGGCCGTCTCTCCCCCTGGCAAGGACACACACGTCGCGAGCCTGGCCTGAAATGTGTTTCATTATCACATAAAAGGCTCCCGTGGCGAAGGAGCGGAGAGGCAGGGCCCGGGGCCGAGTGTGGGACAATGGGGGCTGAAAGCGCGGCCCTAACCTGCTATGTTTCCTATCGCTCGCCCATTGTGCGAGGGTCGTTTTAAACTACTTAGCGCGGACCCCCTCCAATGATCCTGCCGATAAGATGGAGTTCTGTGCGAATACATGAAAAGGAGGTCGGAATGGCGCTTCCCCAGCTTTGCTGCCTTCGGGTGCCGCTCACCACCCCTCCCCCTCGGTTCCGAGCGGATGCCCGGATCGCCTCCGCCCGCCCAGCTCAGCGTCTTGCTCTTGCGGGGTGCAGCGCGCCCCCTCTCTCCCGCGCGTCTCCCCGCGCCTTCCTTCCGCGCGCGGGTTTAAGCAACCGTGATGTGTGAATAAACAAAGTCAGTAAACAACCGAAAAAAACATGCTAGATCCGAATTCCAGGAGGGTAAACTCCCCACGCCACGTCACACCTCAGCAAATTTGCACAGATATTATATTGCCTCCCGCCTTTATTATTCTTTATTTTTTTTTTTGCCAGGATCCCATTGTACTTAACTGAATTTTATAACGCTGATCGATATCTTGGTAAAATATTCATTTTTAAACTAGCGGGCAGTGAAATCTTTGCTTTGTGTGCTAAAGTCAACAGTCGCTCGGTTTGAGCTCAAATAAATGCAGGGATGCCCGGGCTCGGAGCAGTCGGCCGCCTCCCTCCCGGCGCTGGACTCTCCGCCGCCGCCCACAGCCCCAGCCTCGCAGGTAGGGAGCGCGCGGCTCCCCGCCTGGCCGGGCCCTCTCCCCGCGGGGGCCTACACGCCCGGCGGGGCCGGGAAGACGCCGGGGTGGGAGAGGACTCCAGGCCGCGCCGCGTGGAAAGGCGAGGGGTGTTGGTCGGGCGCAGTTGGAGTCTAGTGGGGCCCCGGAGGTAGTGAGAAGTGGCGACAGGCCCCTGCCGCCACTCGGGGCTGCGCACTTATCCGAGAGGACAGTGTGTAGATGGCGTCTAGGGTGGAATCTGCAGGAAAGAGGGTCCCCGATGCGGGGCTCGGAGCCCCTGGCAAGCCACCTACCCACGCCGCGCCCCTCTGGAGTCTGGACTCGGCTACTCCCGCGAGTGCGGTCCGGCGTGGGCAGCGGGGGTCTTGCCAGCGTGCAGGGGAGGGGCAGCACCTGTCCGAGGAGCGCGCCACCTGAGCTTAGCGCAGGAGGCTCCTGGTGCCTTTACGCACAGGCGGGCTCAGCCGCGGGCAGGATAGGAGCCTCGGGGACAAGAGCTGGGCATAGGACGGGAAGCCCAAAGCTGGCCGCGGGGCCCTTTGTGACCTCGTTCTTCCAGCAACCCAGCAGTCTGGGGCCCAAGCACTGTCGCGGGTGCTGGACTTGGTGCAGAGCCGCCGAGGACCCAGCAAAATCAGGCGCGCTTTCGCCGCCCGTGGGAGGTGCAAACCTGGGAAAAGTAGCAGCTGCTTAGCTGCAAGGACGCTTAGCTTTCCCGGGCGGGGTACACAAAGGGTTTCCCCGGGGGGCCTACCCCTCCAACGCGCCCCCTCCGCGCCGCGCTCTCCCCAGGGTCCTCGATTTTCACTCCTGGGCGTCAGGCACCCTGCCGGGCCCTGCCCAGCTGGGTTATTCTGTGGCCTGCCAAGCGCTGGGATGCACCAGGTTCACTGCCCATGGAAATTGCCCGACACCCGAAATGCACGGCTCTGCTGCCTTGCGCTGCCACTAGGTTGCGAACCCCCTTAGGCAGGGATGAGTTGCACAGATGCGCGGGCTCGGGGTTGCTCGAGCACTTCTGTCCCTGCTCATTGTAGGTGGCCCCGTCCTGGACTGGGCTGCCATCCGTTCCCATCGCCCCCGAGGCCAGAGGGCCCCCAGTCCGTCCTCCACCTAGTGGATGGTGATCTTTCCCGAGTGAGGTGGACCGCCTGCAGGGCTCAAGGCAAGGCTAATCGTTTTTAAATAATTAATGCTTCCCCCCCGTTCCGCTGGTAATGCAGGGCCTAGAATCTGTCAATTACTCGTCATTAGACCAGTGTCGCCACAAGGCCTCCCCTCGGACCTTTGATGGCGTCCGGTCACCTAGCCCAGCCCACTCCACGGCAGAATTAAAAGGTGCCCGGCCTTTGAGAGCCGGGTGCAGAGTAGCCGGGGCCCTTAACACACTGCGAGTTTTGAAAGACCCTCGTTGAAGAGATGTAATCTTTCAAATGGCCAATTTAAATGCCTGATCTTTATCTCCAGCCTTCCCGGCTTATACCGAGCAGCCAGCCTTCCGCTCTTTGGGGGCCTGTTGGGTCAGGGTGGGGCAGGGAGATGGAGACAGAGCCGAGCAGGTGAGGGTGGAGGTTGCGGCTAGGCAGGCACCCAAGGTACAGCAGAGCTTTCAAACACCTGGAGTCCAGGGTGCACCTTGCTGAAGGGGAAGGTGACTCTGGAGTGTTCAGACGGGTGTCCCTGGGACACAGCAAAGCCTTTCCTGACAATCTTCACCCTGTAAGATCAGCAGGAAAGGAAAAAGAAAGGTGTCTCTGCCTCTGCCCTCACCACTGTGGGCCTAGGGCTGCTGAGTGAGCACCGGATGCCGACTGCATCCTCCACAAACCTACAGACCCCAAGTCCTGCCTCACAGAACCCAGCACAAGTGGCCCCAGGGTGCTGCCCCAGAAGAGGCAGGTGTCAGACCTGGAGTGTTTTGCTCACTCAGGGACAGCGTGGCCACCGGCCCCGACAGCAGCACTTGGCAACCTCGGCCAGTCACAGGTTGTCAAGTGAAACTGAAAACTTTAAAAAACATGAAACAAGGGAAAAAAAGACCCCAAAAGTTTGCAACTCGATTTAAGGACACTTACTGTTGTCCTAAGTCAAATGTTGTTTTTAAAGTAAATAAAATGGAAGGGGCTGGGCCCTTGTCCATGCCATGCGCTCTCGCTGAGCAAATGCAATGTGCTATAGGTTTCAATTCTCCTTGACAGCCAGACACCCTCCCCCGGCTTTCCAGCAGACCTCAGATAATGTGGTTCTTATAACCGTGCATTCCCAGGACAGGCCCTCTTCTGACAAGAGAAGAGATGGGGATAGACAGACAGACAATGAGAGTCAAGGGAGAAACTTAAAAATGGATGAAAAAAAGCTGAGGGCCTTTGAGTGGGAGGGGAATGTTTTTGGCTGTT